AGCAAGATTTGAGGTGCTGCACAGTCCCAAGGACCGCTGGATATAAGATTAAGCATAGAAACAACTGTCCTGGCAGTAAATTTGGCAACTGCTTCTCCATGAGTAGCAACACAACACACTCCACAGCCCAGCACTGCAACGGTGTCCTGCCCTCCCTGGTCACGTTCACTTAGCCTGCGAGATAGAGGTGCAATGGCCACATCAATGCCTGCACAGGCACCGTGATAGGATCTGCTACCCCTTGGGGTCTGCAGTCTGCACCTTCATCCCCAGAATAATCCTTTAAGCAATTTTGCGCAAAACCCTCATGAAAAAAGAGCCAGTGAGTGGCTGGCATTAGGAAAAAATAATAGGCTTTTTCCCCAGGGCAACCGGTTTGGGGCACTCCCCCCGCTGAACCTGTCCACACCTAGGGCTCCTGTACGGCAAGGACGGCTGGGGGTGATGGGTAAGTGTGCAGAACATTGCTCTGGGGCTGTAACTGCAGCACGGGATACTCCTGCAAGAGACAGAAGAGGTAAGGTAAGCAGTGGTCCCAAGGACAAGGAAGGTCGTGTCCACTCTAAGCCATCCTGTCCTATCCCATCCCACCCGAAGCCACCTCAGCCTTACAGCCCTCTCTCCTAGTGTGTGGAGATGCCTTCTGATGGCAGGCGCCCCATCAAGGTAGCAGTCCATCCCTCGCAGGCAGTAGTGATGCCCAGAGCAGGGGCTGTAGTAGCACTGGAAGAGCCCGCTCCCCGTCACGGTGTACACGGGCAGCCGGTGCAGCATGTCGGTGATCACCGCCCTCTCTGCAAGCAGAGGGATGGCGAGGGTAAAGGCAAGGAGGAGCAGCCAGCCCATCACTCGGAAGGATACCAGTGTGGCAGAGGCACAGCTACAGCTGGAGTACAGGGACAGACGGAGGGTAGTTACCAGATTGATTGAGGCAGGTGGGTTTCAAGGTGTACAACACAGGTATGCTGTGTAGGAAGGTCTCCATCCTTGTCTCCTGCAAGAAGCGATGGCAACCCTTGCTGGATTGCCATCCTTTCGCTGCGGAGCCTGAGGTGCCAGCGGAGCCTGAGGTGGCTCCAGTTTGGGGGGGCCATAGGGGGCTGGACTCTACCTTGGGTAGGAGAGGGAGGTAAGAGGAGTGCTTATTCCAGGCTGCGCTGTTGCAGGGACCTGTTCCCCAGGTGATATATTTGTCCTCTGTGACAAAAACTGGGTTGTACTTCTCTGCAACACAAAAGTGACAGGCAGGTGTGTCCGGTGATGCTGGGGGTGCAAAGGGATGGCCGGAGAGTCCCAACTGTTCCCTTTTTCCCCCGAAATGCAATGCCACAGGGACAGGGGTTATGTCAGAGGCGCTGCTCCTGCGGGCCATGTTAAGGATCTGTGATGGAGATGACACCCACCACTTCCAGCTCGTTGGTCACTCATCCCTGCCCACAGAGCCTTGGTCCCTGGGGGCTATGGGGTGCCAGGAGGGTGTCCTCTAGGCAGCACCTACGACCAGAGGGTATTTAGGGGCCACTGGGTGAGAGAAGCCTGGGGACCTGCAGACATCCCTGGGACAGGCTCAGTGCTGGGACAGGGATATGTGGCTGCTGAAAAGCCACAAGTGCAGATGCTGAGAGAGGGACTCTTTGTCACTGTGGTGGAGACACAGGATATAAAAGGGGAATGAACAGAGCTGCCAGCACTCTCAGCATCCTTGACCCCATGGGGATGTGCCCCATGTGACACAGGGGGACAGCTGGGACCTCAGTGGTACCTTTGGACCTGGCCAGCCAGTTCTTGAGCCAGTAGGCAGCAGGGTCGATGGTGTTCCTGGAGTACTCCTGCATTGCCGCCTTAATCAGCTGCTCAGGCTGACCTTGGCTCACCGGATTTTGCACCGGGGGCATTGTTAATCCCTGCAGACAGCAGAGAGTGGGGAGAGACACCCAGGCCATGCGGCAGCGTCTGCCTTTGTGGCCCTTGGGGCACAGAGTGAAGCCGATTACTGGGCAGGGTCTAATGCTGGAGACACAGCTGGAGATCCAAGCACCAAGCCTCCTTTCACAGTGGGTGGGCACAGGGGTCATAGCAGCACCTTGACCTTGATTAGCACAAGCTTCCCACTCAGCCAAAACTGGGGGACAGAGGATGGCTGAGCATCATTGGCTCCTCTCCCCCTGCATCCAGGGTGTCCTTAGGCATCCAGGCACTTTGCAGAGTGGGAGATGGGGTGGGTGCACTGGGACTGCCAGGTATGGGTCCAGCAGAGGTTGGGAAGGGAGTTACAGGACAAAACCGATGTCCTACAGCTGGCAAAGCCCAAGAGGGGAAGACAAGTTCCCTGGTTGCATGAGCCATTTCTGTCCCTGCACAGTGGTGACACCCTTCTCCGTGCCCTCTGCTGGCTCCATCATTATAATGCACATGCTAACGAGGCTGCAAGCGATGAGCCAGTTTGCAGTGTGCTTTGCATTAGAGCCTGTACGCTTGTTAGCCTGTGTGGGGAAAGCTGCATGTCCCACAGACACCCCCTGCAGTGGGGCCACGGCTCAGGGATCCCTCCTCCTCCAGGACCAGGGCTGGGAGGGTTTTTTTGGTGTCCAGATCTCTCCTCTGCCCTTCGCACGGTCCCCCTGGCATGGAATGCCTCACAGTCAGAACTCACCTGAGCCTGGGGGCTGTGCATTAGGGCAGCACTCAGAGCCACTCGACCTGCTCCCCATTGCCACTGTGTCACACAGCAGCCCTGGGCTGAGCCCTACCACTGCCTCAGTTTCCCCTTCCTCAGCAAATTGTGCCCCCTGTGCATTCTGAAACCTACTGATGGACAGGGCTGATGTGTGAGAGCTTGTGCTGATGATTGTCAGCCCTGAGATCCCAAAGCCACTGCGGGCTGCAGCTCCAGGGAACAAGAAACCAGTGAGCACAGGCCATGGGGTGTCAAACACTGTCCTAACCAGGGAGCACGATGTCCCCCAATACACACATGCAGTGAGGTGCCCCATGAGTCCCCACACCACCCCCCTGCCCAGCACTAAGCATCCACAGCTGGGTAGGGGTAGAAACCCCAAGGTTTCCTCCTCCCGTAGCACTTACCTGCGTCACAAACTTGTTTTCTTTCCAGAGCTGCTGTGGACCCTGCTCTTGGATGGTCTTTTTGACAGAGCGTGGTAGGCGGTAGGAGTTGGTATAAGTGCTGACAGGGGTCTCGTGTTTTTTGGAGAACGGGAACATGGTGCAGCAGCCCACCGGGATGGGAGACCCTGGAGTCCCAAAGGGTCCCGGGGATGCCCCACTGGATGAGCAGCGCTGTGTGGGCCTGGGGGTTTGCAGCCCTCACAGAAAAGGGAACGGTGCTGGTGCCACTGCTCTGCCAGCCCAGGGTGGTGCTTATGCCATGAGTGATGTCACAGCATTGAAGCAGGGGGATTTGATGGTTTTCTCTCAGTCCCATAGCTACGCTATGGTCCTAGCCTATGGCACAGCAACTGCTGCCAGCATCCCTCCATGGGCTGCAACCTCCTGGCTTTGTCCTGGCTCCAGACTTCCTCCCCTCCTGCAGGCAATTAACTTAACCATGGTAGGAAACAGTTTCAGCTCGTCCTAATCAAGATAATTTTATTTTAGGAAGTGCAGGAGCAGTGATTGTGGCTTTTCCAGTCCTTCTCTCCCGTATTCACCCTCTACACCAACCTGAAAGGAGGGTGTAGTGAGGTGAGGGTTGGTCTCTTCTCCCCGGTAACCAGCGATAGGACAAGAGGAAACGGTCTCAAGTTGCACCAGGGGAGGTTCAGGCTGGACATTAGAAAGAACTTCTTCACTGTTAGAGTCGTTAGGCATTGGAACAGGCTCCCCAGGGAGGTGGTGGAGTCACCGTCCCTGGAGATGTTCAAAAAACGTTTAGATGTGGTACTTCAAGATATGGTTTAGGGTGCATGGTGGCATTGGGTATACGGTTGGACTTGATCTTTAAGGTCTCTTCCAACCATAACGATTCTATATTTCCTTGGAAATCCTGCAGAAATCCAGCTGTGTGACCACATGACCACACCAGTGCAGCCAACACCTGGGGCAGAGCACCAGGTCCCGCTGTCCCAGCCTGCTGGCGCAGCCAGGGGAGTTATTGCCTGCTCTATCTGTCCTTTTTAATTAAAAACTGGGATTTAGGTGATCCTGTGCGGCTTATTTGCTTTTCCGTCCTGGGTGATGGGCTCTGCAGTCAGAGTGAGCAATCCTCATCCACCTCAGTGCAGAGAGGCAGCTGGGTTATGCCAGGGAGGGATTTGCATAAACTGAGTTTGCTTTTCCCCAAGCTGGGGAGTCGAGCAGAAATAGCTGCTCCTGCAGAAACCCTGCTCCAGCCTGGGTTGTCACACAGGGCCAACTCGGAGCCCTGCTCTGCTCCTGGCTCTGACCCCTCTGCTGCTATGTTTTTGGAGATGATGGGTGAAGACCCATGTCCATAGTGGCAAGGTGGATGCCGAGCCCTGCTGTGGTTGCTGCGGGTGATGGTGGGGCTGGGCAGCCTGGGGCACCTGAATGCCTCGAGGCAAACTCAACTAATGTGCTGGTAGAGATGAAATGAAGAAAACAAGCTGCCATTGATTTTCACACCCTGCTGGTCTCCGCTGAGCCAAACTTAAGGTCTCCATCAGCCTTCCCTCCTAGGAGCCAGTGGGAGGCTAGGAGGGAAGGGTGGACTTGGGGGTGCCTGCCCCATCCAGCTCCCTTGGAGCACCCCAAGGCACAGATTTGGGGAGCACTGCTCTGCAGACAGGTGGAGTCCAAGCCTCTCAGCTGGGAGGGGACTAATCCTGCACTGAACCGGCTACCAGCATGAGCCACTGGCACCCCTGATTTCAGTATCCGTCACTGTTGGGGCTCAGAGGAGACGGTGCAGTTCATACCCTCTTACCCCGGTTTGCTCCAATGAGAAAGGCTGGCAGGCTAGTTTTCATATGTATGCTTTTTAATATTGTTAATTGTTACACTACACACAACCAGTAACAATGATAAATACTGCAATGGAAATGTTAAAAAAAATATTATACATGTTTCGTGTTTCTGAAAAAACTCCCACATTTTTAAATAAATTAATGCATAAAACTGATGGTAGAAAAAAAACCCCAAACAAACCGCAACACAACTGATCTGTTTAAGGCAATACTCTACGCAGACGGGAACAGAAGTACAACAGTGTGCTACATGTTCTGAACAGGAAAAAAAGAAAGAAAAGAAAACCCACAGAAGATGCAGATCGATGCTTCAGGAGTGAAAAAACTCCCAAAACCAGATAATAAAACCAATGGCCAAGTTAAGTGCAGCATTAATACACTCTGCATGTCAAATGATTAGCAGGTTCCTAACATGGACTAAGGTCAAGCTACAACAAATTTATCTTCCTAATTAAAAGGTTATTCAGGTCAAATCCTACGTTTAACTCTACTTTGCGTTTGGCTGTTTCAGCTATGTTTCACTATATGCAAGGACAGCTGGAAATTAATCTCCTGCTCTTTAGATTAACACAAAGGTCAGGAGGTGTCTCCTCCTGAAAGTTATTCCCATTAAATACATCCAAAAAGGATCTTGCTTTTGGTGATCCTGAAATGTCTCCCGCCACCCCCTCCCCTGGGGCGCCAGGCACTGCACGGGGAAAGGAGACCTGGGAAGCATTTGCTTGGGTTGAGTTTTTTCCAAGCTGAGGACACAAAATGGAAGTGCAGATTTGATCCGGACTTGGAGGAGTGCTGTTTCCCTGCCTGCCAGAAACGTCTACATGGAGCCTGCTGAAAGCACTCTGCCAGCACAGGAGAAACCCAGCCTGTATCCAGGCTCTGGATATAGCCGCGATGTTCGCTATCGGGGCTGGTGCGAAGCTCCATACCTGCCTGGACAGCCAATGAACCCCAATTATTAATGCAACCCAGAACTTGGCCACTGGAAGGTGGACAATAACCATAGTGCCAGAAAAATCCCCCTCTCCCTCAAAAAAGAAAAGAAAAGGGACAGTAGCCACTTTCTGCCAGTTTCCCCCGGTAGATCCCCATCAGCTGCCACCTGTGCAAGATCACAGCACCAGATCTCACCAGCATTGACCCAGTACATTCCCAGTAAGGTGCATGTCTGCAAGGTGCTGCCAGTGGGCAAAGAAGCTTCTTGGGACACAGTCAGAGCCTCCTGTACTGCCCTGCTAGAGTGCATGCAGAGGAAGCTATGGTACACGAGGAAGGAAACCCAAGCAGAGTTACTGGACTTGTGATGGACAACAACTGTCTGGGCTGCCTTGGGTTCAGGTGGGAGAGGGGGATGCAGAACTGGGCTGAGAGTCACTTTGGTGCAACTGGCTCTGATGCTCATCACTAGCGCAGGGGGTGGGGGGAAGGAAAGGCAATGGCTGCTTTGAGAAAACAGGAGTGGAAGGAGGACATGTGCAACGTAACAAGGCTTGCAATTCTAGGACTAACGACTGGACACGGATACCAAAGATTACCTGTGACAACTAGCTATCCTTCTACCGATGCTGCTCCCTTCCCCCACTTCCTGGTATGATTCTTCTTCAGTTTGGGAAGCCGTGGATGTTGCACATGATGGCCAGCGCTGAATCTCCCACTCTGGTCCCTGCACAGTGCACAGGGTGACTTAGCTACAGGACGTACAATGAGGTCTGGAGGTCACATGTTAGGCACAGACCAGCTCTGCATTCAAGTAGCGCCTGCTTTCAGACCCTTCAGAAAGCTATTTAATGGCGGTTCATTTCCTTTATTAAACTGAAGGTTCAATAGCCTCTGTGGAAGGAGTAAAAATGGTTAAAAATGAGAAAAAAAGGGGGAAACAAAAAACTCTTTCTGAATTTTGTACCCTGCAAAGAGTTTATTCTCTGCAAGCCTTTCTCCCTGCAGAACTACAGCCCTACCAGAGTGTCTTACGGCACCCTGCCCCAGCGCAGCAAGAGCACAGCTGACAGCCATCCTACCCACACCTCTGCTGCGGGTCTCCAGCCCGCACCAGGAGCACATGGGCTGCCAGGCCTGGGACATGGTCTGGATCTGGGTCCCAGACCTCCTGCAGCACTGAGACTGAGAAGGGTGAAGGTGGATGGCTTGGCTTGCTGGATCACACCAAGCTTTCACACTAGCCTGGTGAACCTCCAGCCCCACAGCCTTCAGGAGGTTGAAGAGAAATCCCAGCCTGCTCTCTGGCTCACCCACCATCATGTTTGTTGGATCTCCTGCTCATCTGATGCTTGCCTTGGGTTTGTCTCAGGACAGAGGCAGCTACAAGCCGAACATAGCTGCTACTGCGGCTTTTCCATTCAAAGAAATCTGTAAGCTGGGGATGCAGATGAAGGTGATAAAAGCCAGAAGGGCTGTTGTGAAAAGAGCTTGTCCAAGTTTTCTAGCTCTCTCCATGCATCTGTATTACATCTCCCAACAAACTTTGCATCTCCCAAATCATGCAGGCTTGAGGAAGATGGGTGACAAACGGAGTCACAGCTTTTTTTGGGTGCAGAAGCAAGAAGGCAGCCTGGGTGGAGAGCAGTGCTTCCCAGTGAGCTCACCTGGCACAGCTGGATGGGCAACTAGGGGAGAAATGCTGCTCCAGGAGGGTAAACATCTTGACAGGTAATGGGACTTATCTCAGCATGGCCTTTCGGTGGCCTTTTCTTTTCCTGGTACCTACTGTGCTGGTTTCCAGTGACACATCTGAGACAGTCACATTTTAATGAGACTTCTTTTGTACTTTCCACTCCCTGATGCAATCCCACAGCTGTTACCACCATTTGTTACTATGGAAATGGCTCCACAGACCAGACACAATCAGTGAGGCAGGCTCCTTCCAGGAACAAATCCATCTTCTGCTGGAGCAGCTTTTTAGAGAAAGAGAAAGGTGTGGAGGCACCACCAGTGGCAAATGGGTCTGAGAAGCAATGGGAAGAGCTGGTCTCCACAGGCACCAGGGGAAGTTGCAACCTGTCCTGCCAGTGTCTGTGCTGGTCTGCGACACGGCTTGCTGCATGGCTGCATGGGCCACGGCACTCTCCTCCATGTAATCTCAATTAGTTCCCAACCTTTGCCTCCCCAGTAAGCTGTCAAAGCAGTGCTCAGCCAGGCAGCATTTAGCTGCTGTGATCCTGGGATTGCCAACAATGTCAAGGGGGGCAAAGGAGGGGATGTAGCTGTAATTGTCTGGAAGCAATGCAGCAGTTCAGCTGCACAATATAGGGAGTTAAAATA